GTGAAAGCTCACATGGAGATAGTTTTTTGGGTGTTGTTGTTTATTTTTTTATTTTTTAACATTTATCTGGATAAATGTGGAATATAAAGTTTCTTAAGGAAGTTTTTGAGAAGAAAAAGTGAAAATTAATATTTATAGCATGTTCTTATTTAGAATGCATATTCAGCAATCTGCTTTTATATGAGACATACTAACTCTTAATTTTAGAAAATACAAATTTAATTTTGATGGCCACAAAGTAAAGAGTCAAATCCAATTTTGTTAGAAATTTTACCTGTATTTAATGACATGAATTTTCTTAATTGGGAATAAGTTTTACTTCTTAAAATCTATCAATTAAAAAAATTTAGTGGAGGCATTCTGAGATGTTAACTTTTAAACAGTTTATGTTTCTTGAAATAAAAAGGTAAGGCATATCATGTCAGGGCCACTCTGTTAAATGTATACCTGGAACCTACCCTCAGGCTTTAAATGGGAATTCCAAAAGAACCACCACAAGCAGAGCTTTTAAAAATATACAATGGAATATTACTCAGCCATAAAGAGAAATGAAATTATGGCATTTGCCAGTATATGGATGGAACTGGAGAATATCATGCTAAGTAAAATAAGCCAATCCCAAAAAACTAAAGGCCAAACATTCTCTCTGATATGTGGATACTAACTCACAATGGGGTAGGAGGAGGAAAGAACTACTTTGGATTAGATAAAGGGGAATGAAGGGAAGGAAGGGGGAATTGGAATAGGGAAGAATGGGGATAGGGAAGAATGAATCTGACATCACTTTCCTATGTTCAAAGATGAATACACGACCAATGTAATTCCACATCATGTACCACCAAAAGAATGGGAAGTTGTACTCCATGTTTATATAATATGCAAAATATATTCTACTGTCATGTATAAATTTAAAAAAATTAACTCTAAGAGCATTTAATTCTATGTTGAATGATAATACAAACCTATTACTATCACTACAATAACTTTTCTCTTCCAGAGGAAACTCAAAAAATTACTGACCTCAAATGTGGCCACAAGATCACTTGCCATGATTCTCAGCCCCTTGGGAACTGCCTCTCTGTCTTTGGTCACTGGAAACACCTGAACCTGCCCAGACTTCTCTACTCAGTCTTCCCAATACAGTTCATAAGACTCCTTTCCTTTATTTGTCACAAAAGTGTGGCTAAGAAGTATTTTACTACTTTTCATAAATCAAAAGAAAACAACACAAATACAGAAATAAATAAAATGCATGAGTATATAAAGAAAATCATACACATAAAACAGAAAACACATAAATAATACTTCAGAAGAAGTATTGATACATTGAGGTTTATAAATCACACTTCACGAATGAGCATGAAGTTTGGTAGCAATATCAAGGAATATTTATTGAAACACACATTACATGCAATCAGAGTTGCAACCATAAACACTAACCCTGAATGCTACTGTCTTAGGAAAAATTAACCTAAATATGCAGTGAAAGTAATCCGAATATACATGTTGAATTTAGTACTACCATTTCATAATGACTGCTTATCATATTCTGAGCTGTTAACTTTTTAAATTAAATATAATAGAAAAAAGTAGATTTGAAACTAGGAGACTTTTTCCTCTATATGTTTATACCCTCCAAAGTACCTGCTGCAGGGAAGCCTGAATCATAACAGGTTTGTGTCTCTGCAGATCAGAAACACAACATGCAAGCCCACTGGGCTTCTTTAAAATAATTGAATTGACCCTTCAGTAAATGAATGGACAAAAAAATGTGGCATATATATACACAATGGAATATTACTCAGCAATAAGAGAATGAAATTATAGCATTTGCAGGTAAATGGATGGTGTTGGAGAAGATAATGCTAAGTGAAGTTATTCAATCCCCAAAAAACAAATGCCAAGTATTTTCTCTGATATAAGGAGGCTGATTCAGAGTGTGGTAGGGAGGGGGAGCATGGGAGGAATAGACAAACTGTAGATAGGTCTCAGGGGTAGGAAGATAAGGGAGGGGGCAGGGGGTTAGCAAGGATTGTGGAATGTGATGGACATCATTATCCAAAGTACATGTATGAAGACACTAATTGGTATGAACATACTTTATATACAACCAGAGATATGAAAAATTGTGCTGTATATGTGCAATAAGAATTGTAATGCATTCTGCTATCATTTATTTTTTAAAAAAATAAATTTAAAAAAATTTAAAAATAAAATAATTGAGTGTTTACTTATTATTATAATCTTTGCAACCACTGAAAAGTTTAGATGTTAACATGATATTAGGTTAATCACCAGACAAAAAATGTTAATTTGATAATGTAAATAATAGGTGAACCCTGGTTTCAAAGACAATATATTTTTACTGTCATGCTGGAAATATTTGAATGAGACTTGAAGTTTAACTCTCAGGCCACAGAATGCTCCTGCACATTTAAAAAAAAAAAATTGAGAGTGGACAATCATGGGCAATTTAAATATTTTATATTTAAATATCACTTTCTGGGTTTTCCTCTTGTATCAACTTTTTCCTATCAATGTATCTGAAAACTACGTACCATGCTTGATTTTAAAGGGATAAAGAAACTCAAGCTATACTTAAACCCAGATCTTTGGAATATTACATAAAGGGAGTAAATACTCAATTCCAAGACTACATCACCAATATTTACAAGGATGTACTTAGAAGAGGCAGAGCTTATTTTAAATTGCACTTCCTGAATGAATTAGCTCACCTTTCACAGAAAAATCAGTCTACCTCTTTAGAATTTTGTAGAGAGCTTTATTTTTAATTGTATTAACTGATTTAATCCTCTGAACTACTATTTGTGCAACAGAAAAGTAATTTATTCAATGACACTGGAGTTCTGTGATAGAATGATACATCTCCAAAAAGCAAGTCCACAGCTTCCTTCATACTACCTGGGAAGGGAATCCCTACTATCAGCACAGCCTTCCCCTGGCCTCCTCTCATATGATGTCCCAGGATGGTGCTCATTGCCCATCAGGCAGCCCTGGACTCTTTCCATAACAGAAATCCTGTGTGGTGGCCTGCTGACTAACCCCAGTGGCTCTGATGTTGGCTCATTTACTTATTTATATATTTCAGTTTTTCATGATCAGCTCATTTGAATAATAACCTTTTCATAGTCTATTGTCAAACTAAAAGGATTTGGTATAACTGGAAATAACGAATAGCTCCCAATAATCCCATTCTGATTTAATTTTCTTTATGAGTATTTACTGGCAACCAACAAGGAAGAAATTTATCCAAAGAAAATAAAAATAAATTTATTATAAAAAGAAAAATAACATAAAAATGCCAATTTCTTTAATTTCATAAAATGCAAATAATTAATTTTTGAGCTACAGGAACAGAAATAAAGATGCAAGCTCTCTCTGAGGAAGGAGCAGAAACAACAGCTGACTCACCATCTCTCTGATTTAGACTTGCAAAGCCAAAGCCATGGCTACTGGACAGCTCTGAAGAGCTGCTGAAGGACACCTGGGGCAAGGCAGAGGCCAGCAGAGCATCACAGATGTCTGCAGAGAAAAGCAACATATGAAGGTTAGCACACTGGGAGAAGCTCTCCTTTCTCCTCTTCCTTCCTTCTCTCCTTTCTTTTTTAGTTAAAGAGGTTAGAATTTGCACCATCTTGGTCATAAGCATATTAGTCTATGCCTAACAACAGGCTAATAAGGAAAATAAAAGCCCTAGCTTCCAGTCTTTGTAATTATCCTATTGTAACTATTCCCCTCATGGCCAAGTCAAAGCCCTCAGTGTGATGTGACTGGAAGGCACGCAATCACACACCACAGAACACTTCCATCTTGCACACACATAGAAGACACATAAACAGCCTGAAGAGCAGGGGTCATAGCAAGACACCACAAAAGAAGCAAAAGAGGTGAGTTTTGATAATTGATACCTGTTTTTCAATATGATTGGCTTAGTTTCACTTACATAATTTAATTTTACTTTTTAATTTTTCCACAGATTCTATCCAGAATACTTTTATTATACAAGTATCATGCACATTGGGGAACATTTACAGGCAAGGAGTTCAATTCTAAACCTCCACTTCACCCACACCAACTCTAACGGACATTTACCTTACAGTGAATGAGCCTCATGGGAATGAGATACTGAAGGACTGCAGAGCCCCAGACCCAACGTTAGGAATTCTAACCCCCGCGCCCTCTAGAAAGTTCCCATGTACAAACTCCCCAGCCGCACGTAGCACTCCCCAGCCGCACATAGCACTCCCCAGCCGCATGTAGCACTCCCCGACTGCACGTAACACTCCAAACGCTATACAATGCCACCGCCAGATGTTCCATATAGATAATCCTGGGAAAGCCAAGCCTGAGGAAATAGGGTAAAAATGGGAACAATGAGGGTAAAAAACGGGAACAATGAGGATGGGATGTAATTTATGGGTTTCTTTTCTGAGAACGTAAAGTGGAAAAAAACAAGTTTAACCCCCAGGTGACCCCATGACTGAATTCCGAGGAACCTATAGAATGGCTATTGCTGTGCTAAGCTGAAAACTGACCCCCGCTCCCTATAAAAACTCTGTACCCCCGAGCCCGGGTATGCCAGTCACGCCAGTCACCGAAGCTCCGGCCGAGGTTTTGCTGTGCACCCACGGGCGCCTGTTTGAGAATAAATCCTCCTGCAGTTTGCATCCAGTGTCTTGCGTGGTCCATTCCAGGTTGGGGGATCTGGGGGTCTTTCATTTGGGGGCTCGTCCGGGATCACTGGTTCAGCCCAGACCCAAATCCGGAGGACACTCGACATCACTGGGAGGTAAGCCGGCCAGCTCGAGCTCTTTGTCTTGTCTTGTGTTTAATGTCTTGCGCAGAGTCTGTAAGGTCTTTGAGACTACGCATAGTCACCTAGTATTTGAGGCAGCTTGAGAAGGAGTTGACGAATCGGACTTCTCCCCTGCCACCCTGGGAGATGTCCCAGGGATCAGAGGGGCCCGTTTCTTTGGGGCCCCCGGTGTTTCCGAGGGATACACCGTCTTTGTAGGCAACGGAGAAGCGCGAACTTCTCCCAGGCCGTCGGATACTTTCGGTTTCTGCCGAAGCCGCGCAGCGCTCCTCTTGTTTGGTTTCGTTTTCGTGTCTGTGTGTCTACCTCTTTATTTTTCCTTTGAAACTAACATGGGAAACTCATTAACCACCCCTTTGAGCCTCACTCTAGATCATTGGCAGGATATTCAAGATCAGGCAAACAACTTGTCCGTGATGGTCAAGAAGAGGAAATGGAAAACACTCTGTACCCTAGAATGGCCAGCCTTCAACACTGGCTGGCCATCAGAAGGAACCTTTAACCTTGATCTTATCTTGCAGGTGAAATCCCGAATCTTCACCCATGGTCCTCACGGACACCCTGACCAAATACCCTACATTATTACCTGGGAAGACCTAATCTCCAATCCGCCCCCTTGGGTTGCTCCCTTCTCTCCGCTCAAGCCCTCTCTCCGCTCTCCACATGAACCTTCTGCTCCTCTCGTCCCAGCTCCCCCTTCCCCTCCTCAAACCTCTCAACTTTACCCCGTCCTTGACAAATCTGACGCTTCTTTGAATCCAAGGACATCGCTGAAGAAGGTCCTGCCACCGGAGGACTCTCCTCTGATTGACCTGCTGACTGACGAGCCTCCTCCTTACCAGCCCCAACCCTTACAACCCCCTGAGCCCAATCATTCGTCCTCATAGGGAGAAGAAGAACAGGAGGGCCCCACCACCAGTGTCTCCCTGGACCCATCCCCCATGGTGGGACGACTCCAGGGATGTCGGACTCACGCCACCTCAGGGGACACCTCTAAAATCCTCCCCCTATAACATACAGGGGGCCCCAACGGCCAATATCAATATTGGCCTTTCTCTGCCTCTGATCTTTATAACTGGAAAACCCATAATCCTTCCTTTACTAAAGACCCTGTCGCTCTAACCTCCTTGATTGAATCTATTTTAGTAACCCACCAGCCAACGTGGGATGATTGCCAGCAGCTCTTACAAATACTCCTCACTTCGGAGGAGAAACAGAAAGTTCTCTTGGAAGCTCGTAAGAATGTACCAGGGGACGATGGGCACCCCACCCAACTCCCAAATTTGATTAACGAAGCCTTTCCCTTAACTCGGCCGAATTGGGACTATGCAACCGCAGCAGGTAGGAACCACCTACGTCTCTATCGCCAGTTACTCATGGCGGGTCTCCATGGAGCAGGGCGACGGCCCACTAATTTGGCCCAGGTAAGACAGACTACTCAAGGGTCAGAGGAAACTCCAACAGCATTCTTAGAAAGGCTGAAGGAGGCTTACCGGAGGTTTACTCCCTTTGACCCTGATAGTGAGGACCAAAAAGGGAATGTTTCCATGGCTTTTATTTGGCAGTCTGCCCCAGATATCAGAACTAAATTGCAAAGGCTAGATAACCTACAAGATCTTTCTCTAGCAGATTTATTGAAGGAAGCTGAAAAGATATTTAACAAAAGAGAGATGCCGGAAGAACGAGAAGCTAGAATTAGGAAGATGCAGGAAGAGCGAGATCTTAAGCTTTGGGAAGAATCAGATAAGAGAGAAAGAGAAAAAGATCGAAGACGTAACAGGGAACTAAGTAGGATATTGGCCACCGTAGTTCAGGCAGGATATCAGGGAGACAAGATAAGCAAGGACAGGGAATGGAGCAGACCCCGTGTAGACCGAGACCAATGTGCCTACTGTAAGGAGAAAGGACACTGGGTAAAAGACTGCCCAAAGAGGCCCCCCAACCCCAGAAGAGGCGCAAATCGGACCCCCCAATTGCTAGCATTGGATGAAGACTAGGGGAGTCAGGGCCAGGAGCCCCCCCCTGAGCCCCGGGTAACTCTACAAGTAGGGGGGCAACCTGTGACCTTCCTGGTGGATACCGGAGCCCAACACTCGGTGCTAACACAGGCACCAGGACCCATGAGCCACAAAACGACGTGGGTTCAAGGTGCCACCGGGAGCAAACCATACCGATGGACCACCAAAAGAGAGGTACACCTTGCCACAGGTAAGGTCTCCCATTCGTTCCTGCATGTGCCTGATTGCCCGTATCCACTACTAGGAAGAGACCTATTGACCAAATTGAGAGCCCAAATCTATTTCAAAAATGGGGGTGCCACCATCACAGGGCCAAATCAGACCCCTTTGCATGTATTGACTTTTAAATTGGAAGATGAATATAAACTTTTTGACAATCCATCGGTACCTAAGAAAGACATGGATTACTGGCTTAGTACCTACCCGGAGGCCTGGGCTGAAACCGGAGGAATGGGGATGGCTAAACAACAATCTCCAATAGTCATCCACCTAAAAGCCACTGCTTCTCCCATTAATATTAAACAATATCCTATGTCCAGAGAAGCCTATCAAGGCATCAAGCCACATATCAAACGCCTTCTAGACCAAGGCATTCTAACACCTTGCCGGTCGCCCTGGAACACCCCCCTACTACCCATCAAAAAGCCGGGGACTAATGATTACCAGCCAGTCCAGGACTTATGGGAAGTTAACAAAAGGGTAGAAGATATTCACCCGACAGTGCCAAATCCTTACAATCTCCTCAGCACCTTGCCTCCCACCCACACCTGGTATACTATTTTGGACCTGAAAGATGCCTTTTTCTGCCTAAGACTGTCCCCCCAAAGTCAGGCTCTTTTTGCATTCAAATGGAAGGACCCCGAAGAAGGAGTCTCCGGACAACTGACTTGGACAAGACTACCCCAAGGGTTCAAAAACAGCCCAACACTCTTTGATGAGGCCTTGCATCAAGATTTGGCTGATTTCCGTGTAAGGCACCCTTTCTTAATCATGCTTCAATATGTAGATGACATCTTGCTGGCTGCAACCTCCAAGGAAGATTGCCTAGCAGGTACGGAGAAGCTATTACAAACTTTGGGACTATTGGGGTACAGGGCGTCAGCAAAAAAGGCCCAAATCTGTCAGACAAAAGTCACCTATCTTGGCTATGAACTCCATGACGGTCAGCGCTGGTTAACAGCTGCCAGAAAAGAGACTATCTCGAGCATACCACCCCCCCCCCAGAGTCCCAAACAATTGCGGGAATTTCTAGGAACCACAGGGTTCTGTAGACTCTGGATTCCTGGGTTCGCTGAGGTAGCAGCCCCTCTGTACCTACTGACTAAACAAGGCAACTCCTTTTCCTGGAACATCAATTGGCATTCGATCACATTAAATTAGCCCTTCTGTCAGCCCCCGCCTTAGGCCTACCGGACGTTACCAAGCCCTTTGATCTATTTGTAGATGAAAAGCAGGGCTATGCAAAGGGAGTTTTAACCCAAAAGCTGGGACCTTGGAGGCGACCTATAGCCAGCCTACTTGTCAAAGAAATTAGATCCAGTGGCGGCAGGATGGCCACCATGCCTCCGGATGGTAGCGGCTGTGGCTCTTCTGATTAAGGATGCCACTAAACTTACCTTGGGACAGCCATTAACCCTATAAACCCCTCATGCCATTGAGACCATAATTCGCCAGCCACCCGACCACTG